CTACCTCTGTACAAATTAATTTTAATACTGATTTCATTTGATTAGTAACTTATTCTTCTTATTCTACTTGTTCTTATTATATGGTTTTATCTATAATTTTTAACAAGCTTATAACATTTTTTTTTTTTTAATTTGACATAAAAGATTACATACTTTTAATAAAGATAGAAAAATGCCATTACAAAGGTAAAAACAAAATTCTACTGTAAATCACTTTAAGGAGTCAAATATCACCTCGTAATGGAAAGGCTATTTTTTTTATCAAATTTTGGTGCTCGTAAATTTTTGACTGTGCTCCTAAATTTAAGTTAGGAGCACAAGCGGTCCTAAAAATAAAAATAAGCGTAGAGCCCTGTGCATATTTGCTTATATTCACCTTTTACGCAGAACAGTGTTGTGAATGTTAACTGGCATATTAACAAGACTAAAAACGAAATGTGACAATTGTTAGGAACCTTAAAAAAAAAAAAAGAAGAAAAAAAAAAAAAAAAAGGTTTTCTGGGGTCGGGGGGCCTACTGTAATGCTGTAGCCCAGGGGCCTTTGGTTATCTTAAGGCGCCCCTGGTTGTGCATATACTCACATTTTTGACATTTTGTCTTGCTGGTAAAATTTATTGAATGGACTGTTTATCCTTCTTCCTTGTTTTCATTTGTGTCATGGTCTACAATGACTAAGGTCTATTTTTAAAACTTTCTTACTGATGTTAATTTACGCAGACTATCACACATGTAGATTCATGGGCACTGCCTGCTAAAACTGAAATAGTCACTGTTTACTGCTTCGTGATCCTCCTCGCTCGCCTGGAGAGGTGAGGAATTCAAATGAGGCAGCCAAAGGTCGTTTCCGTGGAGTTTTTGAGGTGTCCTCCAGAGTGTGTGCACAGGCCTTCTGTCAGGCCGAGCGCCAGTCATCGCATCTGCAGTCGGCTTGCGTCACGGACCGTCACACACACATACACACACATATCCTTGGCTGGGCAACCGAGTGTTATAGTCACAAGATCTGACCTTCACACGCATACGAACCTGTTCTCATCAAATCTAGTCCATCTATCATAGTTCTTCTCTAACACGCACACACTTTCACACAATAGTGCCGGAGGTGTGAATCCTCAGGGGCCTATTGATCTGAGAGAAACTGCACAGCTCACACACATACACAAATTGGCAGTAATCATTACCAGGGGCCAAACTGATGTGGTGGCTAGCGTTAACACCCTCATGCCCACAATGAAAGGCTGGCATTTGACAAAAAGAAAAAGAAATACCATTTAAAGAGATGCTTTTACAGACTCGACTAATCAAACAACCTTTTTCCCCTTTGGCCTTTTAGTGTAGACATGCCCACACACTGCATTCTGTCTCTGTCTCTTACCATTTTTCTCTCCATAGGAGAGAAAGTTGTGTTTCATTTAAATAAAAGTTCATAAAATTCTAGCACTGAAGACGTTTAATCACATAAACACAGTCTGAGACTTTAGATGAGACATTAACTGGGTCTTTTTCTCAAGAGAAACATTTGATGCAGGAGACTTCATCTGTTTTTCATTTAATGCCACTGTTATCTAGTAGAAACAATAAGAGAAATTACACAGATCTCATGTTTTATTTGTCTTTCTAGTAAGTCTTTGTGTATGCTGATACCCTAACATGCTTGAAACGGGTCACATGGTAATAAAGAGTCTTGATGTGGCAAAAAAAAACAAGATGTATTTGTGTTGCTTTCTGAGAACTAAATCACAACTTTAAACACGCACAGACATGTGCACTCACCCTGATGGATTGTCCACCTTCAGAAAAGCCTGGATAACCAGTGGAAACTCATACTTTACTATGTACAAGTAGCTGGACATGGCTATGAGAGGAGAAAGAGAGAGGACGGCTGTGAGATTCATACACACGCACTCACATATACAGTAAACAACCTAATCCAGGACGCATTCGTCCACTCCAGGGGATTGTGGTTATTATCCTGGAAGCAAATGTCACAGTAAAGAAGAGAATCAGTTCTATTTTTAGTTTTTATAAACATGTACCAAATGCCAGCTCGGGGTCTTTTTCCATCACTGTAGATTAAGTCACAGTTCAGCTTTTAAAAAATAATAAAATCATGTTATACATCTTAAAATAATGTTACACAACAGGCCTGAGACTGAGATTCATTTAATTACTTTATATTTATTAATAGTAATTAACTAATTTATCAGAAATCTTGGAATAACCTATAAAAATATTCAACATTTTTTTAAAGAAAATTATTTATATTTCCAATAATAATCAGCAGATAGACTGTACTATGATTATTTGTAGTGCAATAGAACACAGCCTGTGTACAACCCTGAGGAAACAGGGAGGACAGGTTACCATGATAATGAATAAATTAAAAATAACTGATGACCTAGAGTGTAAATGAGAAACAAATGGCATTGCTATCTATCCAAGTCCAGTCACTCTATCTGCAGAGGTGTATACGTGTGCTGTGCCCTTGACAGGTCACAAAGCAATACATTGTGTCTCCTAACGTTTGACAATCTCACCTCCAATGTTCTGCAGGGTGATCGCAATGCCGGCAGCTATACACATATATATATATATATATATATATATATAAATTACATGAACTTATAACTGAATAATTTAGAATTAAAAAATTAAACAATTTCATTGTATATCTAAATAATTTCTAAACATGCTATGGTTATATTAATTAATACAAAGTATAAAACAAAAAAATATAACAGGCCTAATTCTAAGAGTTGAAAAGAGGCTGTAGTCTCAGTAAGGTGGAAAAACACAAGACATCGTAATCACAGGCACATCACAAATAGCACATAAATTCAACGGCACCCTCCAGCTGCCAACATCTGGATAAACATCTCAAGCTGGGAACCCAAAATATGCTCTACTGACTATTTTTCCTCCATCCAAATGTCCTGTTTAGTCCCTATTCCTAGTTCCAGAATGTCTTGGCATCTATACTGACCAGGCCTAACCACCCTCTGCCAAGCACTCAGTTTCAACTCCGCACTTTCTCACGTCTTCCATTTTCCTTCTTTTTTCCAAATGACGTGGCCGAACTGCAGGAGGAGAAGTCAACGAGTGCAGTTCTGCTGGAAACAGCAGTGCCCTGACTCACATGAGCTGTGAAACGGATATTCAGCATTAAAAAAATCCTCCCAGCCTTGACTAACATTCCACTCATATTTAAATACGTGAAGCACAACTAGTACACTAATCGCTCACGTTTAATAACAAATTACACTGGAGGAGGCAACATTGTGAGGTTGAAAAGCTTTGAAAAATCGGAGACAGAACATGCGATTTGTTCACCAGCTGCAGTGTGTTAATGGCGGCAGCTGGCTTGAATGAAGGCAGTGCACTATGTGATCAGTTCAGCATCTAATCATCTTCTTTAGCAGCTGATTGTGATGAGATATTTAATATCATCTAAGCTCCAAAAGACACCGAGTTAATTTTGCATTTATAGCTGCTCCAAAAGCTAGTTGCTGCCTTCGAAAGCTTCCTAACTGAAATGAAATCTCACAAGTGACTGATTTGGAACACTCAACTTACTTGAGTCTTAAATGACTTGGATGAATAGAATAGAACATGATTTGCAAATGGTTGCGTAGTTATAGCCATTTTTATTTATTTTTTTCCTTCTTATAGCACCACCGAGTGGCCAAACTCCACAATTGTTTTTTCAAGTGACCTCAGATTGAGCTCTTACATAAGCGTTCTGAGTTTGGCGGCAATATCTCATTCCGTTCAAAAGTTATAGCCATTTTAGTAAAAGTGGTCCTGCCCCTTTCAAAAGTTTTGGCGTCCCTTTGCGACGGTCAGTCAAAACTTCAACTTTTTTTTTTGTTTGTTAATAATTGATATTCACTTTCCAAAGAAGCTTTCTGCACTGGTTTGCTTCCGATCGGGTGAAAAACCTAGGACTAGTTCACAAAAGTAGTTTTTTCAAAAAATCCAAAATACCCGAAATTTTGGGCAGGCTCAAAAGCGAATCTGGCATGCGTTTGTGAGCCAAGGATTCCAACGACATAAGACACTTGAGCCTGCGTCTGACGGTTTAGAAGTTATGAGCGATTTCATACTTTTGATCGCTGTAGCGTCCCCGTCAGGCCAATTAGGGCGAGCCTTGGTGACGTTGTAGACGGTGTGAGTACTTCCATCCCTCCAAGTTTCAAGTCTCTATGTCTTACAGTTTGGCCTGCCCGATCAGTTTTACGTGGAGATTGCTGATCCTTGATCATTCTAACAATTACAATAGGGTTTCAGCGCTACATGCTTAAACCCCTAATGAAATCTTTTGTAACATTATTAAAGTCTTTAATGTCACTTTTGATCAATTACTTGCTTAAAATAATTTCAAAAATAATCCCAAAGATGGGAGCTGAATTTCAAAGCAAAGATTTTTTTTGTTTGTCATTATCTTATACAAAGAGCTGCTCTTTCAAAGCCAATCAATGGAGTCCCCAGATATGTTTAGGCTAATTTAGGCAGTAAGATTGTCCCAGATGTTTCTCCTAAAATTTCTTAAAAATAGAAGCAAATATATATAAATACATATGATGATAACTATCTGATGGGAGTTTAATTGATATCTATTCCTAAACTCCAGAATAGACAAATGTAAAATCTGTGAGCAGTTTGCTCTCCATTTAATGCCACTCCTGTAAGAAAAGACGAATAGGAACTCCACACATTTTATGACGCTGGATATTACATATCCTTGTTTGTGATTTTGTGTATTTCTCAGAGTCGTGGATTCACTCTCGCCTCTAGGGAACCACTGCCAAGATTCAAAGTGACACAAGTCAAACCCACAACTCAACAAAACCCAACATCAACATTTCAGAATCTTTACTCTATCTTCATCTATATACAACAATAATCAGCAGATATGTTCCTATGTAAAATGTATGATAGTATATACAGTACAAAATGCTCATCATAAAAGCATACAGATGAATACAAAGAAAATGTTTTTATACTAGCATAGAGACTCCACAATGATGTCCTCATAGCAAGGTCTAAGAAACTCCCATAAACCTTATGAATTCATTCCCAAGAGCTGCACCATTATTGAAAGGAATATTAGCTGCATTATTAAATTGTGTCTGGGATTGATTTATGAGTAGCCCGAAGCCACAGTCAGCACTGGAGAAACACTGCTCTCAGATCAGACAGGTACCACATGTAGAGAATCGGGAGTACGGAAAGTTCAAGTGTGCCAGATATCGCAGAACCCCAGTCACGCCAAACAGCTCAAACCCAAAGCCCTCTCAGAAAGAAAAATAAAAAATCCTCTGTACATTGCTCAACCAAGATTAAAAGGCCTGACTGGTTTTCATAAAGCATGTACAACCTAATCTTCACGATCACAGCAGAGAGCCCACGTTAAGTAGCACAGATCATTAGATCATAACTACTGTAGACGACAGACCCTTTGTTAACAAAAGTAATACGGTGTGCCTGGCATGAACATGGAGCTCCCGTGGAAAGTGAGAGTCCTGGTACAGCCCACTCAGCTCTATTGAAGGTCAGTCAGGAAACAAATCTCTCTGGCAATCTGACTTTTCTAATAAAGGCTGCTTTACTAGAGGATTAATACAGCAGGAGGACCAGTTCACAGAACGGGAATTAACACAGATCATAACAAACTGTAGGGAAGCTGTGACGTAATAAATTTTGCTGAATAATAGTATTAATTTCTTTCTTTCTCTTTCTTTCAAGAAAAAATCAAAATCAAAACGTCGAAGAGTCAAAAAGTAGGGGTCCAGAATCTCCTTATTAAAGGAATAGTTCACTTCCTGAATGCAAATTTCTTAATAATTTACTCACTCCCATGTCATCCAAGATGTACATGTCTTTCTTTCTTCAGTCGAAAAGAAATTACGATTTTTGAGGAAAACATTGCAGGATTTTTCTCCATATAATGGACTTCAATGGGGATCAACGGGTTGAAGGTCCAAATTGCAGTTTCAGTGCAGCTTGAAATGGCTCTTCCCAGCTGAGAAATAAGGGTCTTGTCAAGCGAAACGATTGGTCATTTTCTAAAAAATAATTAAAATGTATATACTTTTAACCACAAATGCTCATCTTGCAATAGCTCGACCTCACGCATTACGTAATCAGTCACACATGACGTAGGCGGACGTACCGAGCCAGTACTTTCAAAGAAGAAAGTCAAACAGCCTTTACAAAAAAAGGAAAAACAAGGATATCGGACAATTTTGAAGTTGGAGGAGAAAATGAGCTGAAGTTTTTCTCCCTACTCTACCTTTTTGAACCGAAGTACACAGACAAAGAACTAACCGCGTGTGACTTTTCCAATGTGATTACGTAATGCATGAAGTCGCGGACGCGCATCACAGAGCTAGTGCAAAACAAGCATTTGCGTTTAAAAAGTATTTTTATTTTTTTTTAGAAAATGATCGATTGTTTCACTAGACAAGACACTTATTCCTCGGCTTGGATCGTGTAGAGCTCTTTGAAGCTGTATTACAACTGTAATTTGGACCTTCAACCCATTGGCTGCCATTGAAGTCCACTAGACGAAAAAAAATGCTGAAACAACTTTTTCCTCAAAAACCTTCATTTCTTTTCAACTGAAGAAAGAAGGACATGAGCATCTTGGATGACATGGGGGTAAGTAAATTATCAGAAAATGTTTATTCTGGAAGAGAACTAATCCTTTAAAGTTTGTGCAAGTTAAATCAAGTACTTCACAAGCATTCATTAATATCATCAATTATACTGGTTTAACAGCATGATGACAATTCAATTGCATATTACAGTTTTTCTCGATTGCTAAAATACTAAAACCCTTTGGCTGAACAAAGTTCTCAGTTGCCTAAACTCATTTAGCTAATTGTGCAGTCTGTTGTCAATACCTTACACCATTTCACATGGTAAAACACAATTTGCAGATCTCACTTAGACTTTTCAGCAAAACTCTAAACACATTCTCATTCTCAAAACACATTCTGCACTCTAATGCACATGTCATCCATACTGGTAAACACAAGTGGCAACAATCAAATACAAATAGAGAACACATGTCATTGATAGAACACAACCACTCAAAATGTATTTAACCTGTTTCAAATGATGTGACACAACCAATATAAGCCAGTTCAGAGAGCAAACAGGTTGTTGAAGGTGGGAAGGAGAAAGTCTGAGAATGGATAGAAGAAACAATGTGAGAGGATGAGGATGAGTGCGTATGCGAGGTGGGCGACGAGGAGGAAGAGGAGGAGGAGGGCAAGAAAGAGGAAGAGGAGGAGGAAGAGGAGGAGGAGGGCAAGAAAGAGGAAGAGGAGGAGGAGGGTGAGGAAGAGGAGGAGGAGGGCAAGAAAGAGGAAGAGGAGGAGGAGGGTGAGGAAGAGGAGGAGGAGGGCAAGAAAGAGGAAGAGGAGGAGGAGGGTGAGGAAGAGGAGGAGGAGGGCAAGAAAGAGGAAGAGGAGGAGGTGGAGGAGGAAGAGGAGGAGGAGGGCAAGAAAGAGGAAGAGGAGGAGGAGGGTGAGGAAGAGGAGGAGGAGGGCAAGAAAGAGGAAGAGGAGGAGGTGGAGGAGGAAGAGGAGGAGGAGGGCAAGAAAGAGGAAGAGGAGGAGGAGGGTGAGGAAGAGGAGGAGGAGGGCAAGAAAGAGGAAGAGGAGGACGAAGAGGAAGAGGAAGACAAAGAGTGGAAATATCTGATGAAATTCGAGCAACAGTCATAGACCATGTTCTTGTCCATGGACTGACAATGAGGGAAGCAGGACTTAAGAGTGCAACCCAATTTGAGCCGATTTTCTGTGTCCACCATAGTAAGGACATTCAGAGAAGAGAACAGGTACAGTATACTACTGTATTTTTGTAATAGCAAATTTACTGTACTACACTATATGCAGCTGTTTCAATAGACATTTGTAAAGTTCATCACTGTATGTATAGTACTGCATGAATATTTTTTGTAACTGCACATCTACTTTTTTTAGAATTGCAAGGCTGCCACATGCAGGTGGAAGGACAGCTATATTCACTCGGGAGCAAGAGGCCGTTATAGTGGGCATGGTCCTTCAAGATAATATAATACGACTCCGAGAAATCCAACACATTCTCATTCTCAAAACACATTCTGCACTCTAATGCACATGTCATCCATACTGGTAAACACAAGTGGCAACAATCAAATACAAATAGAGAACACATGTCATTGATAGAACACAACCACTCAAAATTGATTTAACCTGTTTCAAATGATGTGACACAACCAATATAAGCCAGTTCAGAGAGCAAACAGGTTGTTGAAGGTGGGAAGGAGAAAGTCTGAGAATGGATAGAAGAAACAATGTGAGAGGACGAGGACGAGTGCGTATGCGAGGTGGGCGACGAGGAGGAAGAGGAGGAGGAGGGCAAGAAAGAGGAAGAGGAGGAGGAGGAGGAGGAAGAGGAGGAGGAGGGCAAGAAAGAGGAAGAGGAGGGCAAGAAAGAGGAAGAGGAGGACGAAGAGGAAGAGGAAGACAAAGAGTGGAAATATCTGATGAAATTCGAGCAACAGTCATAGACCATGTTCTTGTCCATGGACTGACAATGAGGGACAATATTGCTTGTGATGTCGACGAAGTGCTCTGGCCTGACCCAGCCCAAAGACAAGAAGAAGCACATTGATCACATGTTTACTCCTTTGATTTGTGTCCCTTTTAGTATTGTATACTGTAGTACAGTGCATTGTAGGCTGTATACTTCTACAATGAACAAATTGTATGGCCCTGAACATTGTGCTTTCCATTTGTTAACAGTACTGACTGCTCAATAGATTTTGACTGGTTGCAGGTTCATATCAACAAAGAACAAGAATTACAGTATCACAGAGACAAAGGACAAGTTTGTGAGATGCAGGGTACAGTAGGCCCTACTGTAAAAATAGGGGTACAAGGAGGAGGAAGAACAAAAAAAATTGCAAAGAGCAAAGCAGAGTAGTAATTTCTGATCAATTTTGAGCTACTATGATAGAACATGTTTTCGTTCATCAAAAGACAATGACGGAAAAATATGAAATTTGTTTTGAGATTAAAAATTTACTTCTCCCTGAGAACTATGTTTTGAACAGTGTTTTCTATTTTTTGTTGTATTGTTTACTGACTGCTTGATAGTGTATATCATTTTGATCACTTTGTTTATGATTTGAGAGCAGTGTTTGATTTTGAACACAGGTAAAACTGTTTTGAGGCGAAAGTTTCATTTTGCAAGAGGAGTCAGAGGTTTTTTAAATAGTGCTTGAAGATGAGGTTTTGTGTTTAATGTTTTCAGAAAATGGAGCAAGGTTTCAGAAATTGTGTTTTAGCAATCGAGAAAAACTGTAATACACACCACAATAAACTCAATAGGATACATATTCAGCAAGAATGACAATGGCTTTCATTCTCAATAAAATATCAAAATTTTATGTTGATCAGCAGTAAAAACAATATCAATTCTGGCTCTAATGTTTCCCCACAGAGTGGTTTAGGATGCTATCAAATGCATAATGGTTTCATTAATTCTAGCTCAAAGTGGACTATCTATTCTCCATTAAAGGGGTCATATGATGCGATTTCAAGTTTTACTCTGTTCCCCTTTCGGGCTCTGTCTTTACATTTATTTTGAAAGATGAAGCTCGCGATTATGGTAAGGGGCGTTACATTTCCGACGAGTGCTTGCGGTGTTCGGCCAGTCACAATGCACTGGGTCAGCTGGCCAATCAGAGCAGACTGCGCTTGTCGGAAGGAGGGACTTTGTAGAAAACGAAGCGTTTGAGAGAGGCGGGGCATAGAGGACCGTACAGTATGTACAGTATTTGAAAAATAATGTGTTTTTTGAACATGAAAGCATGTCAACATATTCTGTTACACCAAATACACCAAATAATGATCTTTAAAAAAGCATCAGATGACCCCTTTAAGCCTACAATTTCAACAAATTTCAACAACAATATTCTCCAAATTTCCTACAATCTGAGTGCATAGAGTTTGACCTAAAACTGTAACTTACACAAAGAGGACAATGCCCGTGTTAGCCATTGCATATGCTAAACCCAGAATTCCACTTCCCATGATGGCGTTTCCCAAGTTGAAGACAGACATCCCAAAAGAAGTCTTTCCCTCAAACTAAAAAGAAAAACAGAGTTCACACATTCACATTTGAAAAATATTATGATTCTGACACTGTCACAAACTGACATACATGAAATCTTACCAAAAGCTCAACTTACATCCGTGAAGTGAGGGGTTTTCTTGTCATCTGCGTTGGACAGGAACTCTGAGCTTTCTGCCAGATTTGCCTCTGCATTACCTGGAGTTCTGTCAGTACTAAAGACACACATAACACCCATGAGGGATTGACTGGCAGTGCATCACAGATAACTTACTAAAGGGTTAATGCCACCAAAACACTGATTTACAGTGGGTGCTTTGCTTTATTTACAGGTGCATGATGTGCAGCTGCAGAGAAGTACTGTTTTGTTTGCTAATGATTCTGCTCTCTGCATGACATACCTGGCATTTTCAGTGCTATTTGGAACAAGTTCCCTACAGAGCAGTGTTGGAGCCGAATCCACGAAAGCACAAGAGACAGGGAAATCATGATGAACACACCCATAGATAAAAACACTACTGAAGGCATGTGGCACCAATCAGGAGAAAGTGATGTCTAGTTGAGAAACATTTCATTTGCTTTTGTGAAGGCGAGTGGTACTTCTACATGCAGGGTGATTTTGTTTTGCATATAAAAGAACGTATAGGTGTTTCTTCAACTATGGGCACTTTTAAGTCTTGCAAAGAAAAAATAATTAAACCTTAAAAGACAATTTTTGCTTTTTTTGCTCAATAATATATATATATATATATATATATATATATATATATATATATACAATATATTTTACTCT